TCCTCTCAAACTCATGACCTCTTTATCTTTGACTACTGTTAACATATAAATACACACATATATTTATATACATAAATATATAAATATAATCCACTGAATCTGTTCAGTGTTCCTTGTATGAGTGTGATTTCAGGGTTAGCCACTAGATATTGTATAGCCTGAACCCTGGGAAAGACTGATTCCCCTCCTCTCAGCAATCAGTAATTGCCCATAAGTATTTGCGTAGGAATGAGGCCCCTACAGCACTTCTCCCTTCCGTATTAGCACATCTGTTAGTGTTGATATGTTTCAGTATTGTTTGGGCAGTTGTGCTGTTGATGCCTCATGGGTATAGCCCTCCTGTCATTTCTAGGGAAAACTAATCTTACAGAGGACGTCTCAGTCCTCTGGCACTTTTAGTCTTTCTACCCCTGTTTCTGTGATATTCCCTGAACCTTGAGTGCAGGAGTTGTACTGTATCCATTGGGGCTGGGCACACCCATTATCTCTACTTTGACCTGTTGGGTTTGTGATGATGGTCTGTGTCTGTAGGTTAGACAGTGATGGTTAGGTTCCCCTAAGATCCATGACGTCACTATTCCTAGTACTTGCCTATGTTACAGCATCAGCCATAATTTCTCTTTAAATAACTAAGAGTAAATGTCTAGAAAAGAACAAAATGTGTGTATTTTAAATAGTTCTGCATCTGATCCTAATGACTGAATGTTTCAGGCAACCAAGGGAAAAGAGCAGGAGTGCTAAGCCAAGGCAGTAATACTAATAAATAACATGAGGAGAGGTATTTATTTTTGTATTATACACTAACTAAGCAGGCCTGTTAGACTCTTTGATCATTGTAAAATATTAAGGAGAGAGACATATAAGTTTCTGATTTTCATCCCTGGGGTAGTTTGGTATTAAAAATTGAATGAAGAATGCTAGAAAAGAAACTGGGTTTTCTTCTTGTTTATAAGCTAATTTAATAACATAGTTTGAAACAGAGTATCCCACATGAGTTGATTATGCCACTCTTAGGAGTCATAGGTTTTTAGATAAGCATCCCAGGGTTGGTTCTGGGATACATCTCTATGAGTTTTTGTCCAGTGAGGTCCCAGAGGCTCCCAGGACAACACAGGCTACAGTCACTCTTCCTAATGGGACACTAAAAGTAGAAACCAAACCCAATTGCTGAAGACACCACACACTTTGGTTCCAAGACACAGAGAAAGCAAGGTGTAAAACTGAGCTAGAAGATGCCTCCCTCTGAGGCCCAAGGGACATCATGGAAAGGGGGCAGAAAGGATGTAGTATAAATGGTGAGAGAATGTGCTGTGCAGACGGCTGGGGAAGAAAACCCATTCACAGTCTTACACAGATGGAAATCCTATGTACCATTAGAGTAACCTGCTAGACAGGATAGACCCACCAGTGTGATATAATAGCATGGCTGCTTTGGTGTTAACCAAACACTTTCTAGTTGGATTTGAGGTCTGCTTCATAGGAGGAATACATTCCAAGCATTGTAAGTCTGGTCAAAGTCTGTTGTTTTGCTCAATGGACATGTTGTCAAACTGACTTCTATATAGTTATACCTATAGCCATAGACTAGTGCTGCTCTCAGCCTTGGGCAGGCGATGCTCCTTCTATTATAGTGGGCAACAGTTAACAAAGAGACTTATTATCTAGCCAAGCTACATCATATAAAGGGGAGAAGAAGGAATGTAAGAGCTGGGGGAAAGGGATTCATGTCATGAAACAGTATGCCATGTGGATACCTGGGAGAAATTGATCTCCAGGTTCTGCTTACAGCTAAGCAGTCAACAGACCCTTATTCTCAATACCTTAATCTGTACTTACAGGGTCTGCATAACATTAGGCCTCCAACATTCACCTTGAATGTGAGAGGTACTTGAGGTCCCACCCCTTCCTGGGAAGCTATTTCAGTTAATACTTGATGGGAAGAGAGTGTCATTTTCTTTAATGGTGTAGCTTACATACCAACAAATAACCCCCTATCTGTGTTCATACAAGCAAATTAGGCTAAATTCAGTGGGTCAACAAAAGGAGAGAGAAACCAGAGAGTAAGGAGGGACACTAGTTGAGAAGAGTTTCACAGGGAGAGGAGAATAAGAGAGAGAAATGGGGCAGAATATAATCCCATCACATTTTATATATGTATATATGAAATTGTCAGAAGGAAGGAAGGAAGGAAGGAAGGAAGGAAGGAAGGAAGGAAGGAAGGAAGGAAGGAAGGGTAATTGGGCATTGATGGAAAAAACAAAAAAACCTTAGACAGTCCAAGTTTCAAACGCAGAAGTAGTTCAGAAGACTAAAAAAAGAAAAAACAGTGGCACAAATCCCAAGGAAATTCAACTCAAGTTACAACGTGGAATATATCTGTATACAAAAGGTATAATGTGTCAGTCTACACAGATTGTTCCAATAACTTATATCATAAGATGTTGCCATCTGACAGAACTAAAGTGGCACGCTCCAATGTTCATTAATTAGATGCTCTGAGAGAAGATTCATGGCCCTCGCCTAATTTGTATGATATAAATTTACCCACCATGCCATATCTCAAACTATAAAACACAAAATGTGAGCTTAGGGAGGGATGCATGCAGTTGGCCATCACCAACCCATGAAAGCTCCTCCAACAAATTCTGCCTCCCCCCCCCCCCGAAATTCACTTATAATATGCTTTGGGCCATTCTACTTACCCTAGTTTGAAATTAAATCCATTTAAGCAATAAACACAATATATGAAAGAGAGAGCTAGAAAGAGAGAGGAGACAGAGAAAGAGACAGAGAGATGAGAAATGAAGTAATTTCTTCCCAAATGTCCCATAAACATCCCATCTGTTTTTTCACAATCCTCCCTGGGTCATAGAACTCTGCTCTGTGCCAGCTGGCATTCCCTGAGCCCTGGGTGAAGCCATGACTCACCATCCAGATGTATCATAATTTGCTCAGGTCAGGTCTGGGTGTTCTGTAATCCTTCAGTCTTTCCGTCTCCCATCAAAGGATGTAGTTTAAGTTCTCATCCTCGATGAGAACCTATGTAGTGACTCAGTGTGAGGACCAGTGGATTCTGGGGGCTAAGTCACCCAGCCACAGCCAGCGTGACTGCTTCTGCGTGTGTCTCTCATGCTACATCACATTCCCATTGTACGTGCTTACTGCTTGAGAAAGTTTAGGATCTTCCACTTCCCTTCTCTTTGTAGTCTGGGGAAGGCTTCTTCGCAATTACTTCCTCAAGGGTTGGGAAACAGACCGGGATGAAGTAACCCAAGGATAATAAATATCTCAACTTTAGCTACAGAAGGGGACTACAGCAGCCTCTGGCGTCATCTGGCCAAAGAATCAAAGTGGGTCTTGTGTTGCTTGTTTTCAGAGCACAGCTGCTGGATTTTGGTCTGTCTACCCCAGCAAGTACCTCTCTATTTGGGTGTTGCTGTGTAAGAAACCATAAAGTTGTGTTGGTTTGGTTTGGTTTTGTTTTGAGAATCTCTAAGATGGCAAATGAGGTGGCTTGAATGAGAATGGCCTCTCCAGGATTTTAGACTCGAATACTTGGCAACCAGGGAGTGGCACTATTTGAAAGGATTAGGAGGTGTGGCCTTGTTGGAGGAAGTATGTCATTGGGATGGGCTTTGGGGGTTCAACTGCTCAAGCCAGGCCCAGTGTCTCTCTTTTCCTGCTGTCTATGGATTCAGATGTAGAACTCTCAGCTGCTTCTCTAGCACCATGTCTGTGTGCATGCTGCCTTGCTCCTCGTCATGATGATAATGAACTATACCTCTGAAACTGTAAGCCAGTCCCAATTAAACGCTTTCTTTTATAAGAGTTGCAGTGACCATGGTGTCTCTTCACAGCAATAGAACAGGAACTAACACAGGATTTCTTATTTTCAGATATCTTACATCTGGCCATAATCCCTTGGTTCTTTTATTTTTATTTCTTTTATTTTATCTTTATGTGTATGGGTGCTTTGCCTGCATGAGTTATGTCCATGTACCACTTGCATGCCTGATGCCAAGGGGGCCAGAAGAGAGCATCAGATCCTTTATGAACTAGAGTTACAGGTGGTTGTGAGCATCATTGGGGTGCTGGGAAAGAAACAGGATCCCTTTGAAGTGCACCTAGTGTTCTTCACAGCTGAATCAAATGCCACCAGCTTCTATGTTGTTTTGGGAATTTTTGTTGTTGTTCCTGTTCTCAGATATTAGCTTTTAATCCTTTGAATTTAAAAATAATTATAGTTACTTTTAAAGAATTCTCTTTTTTGGGTCTTTTACCTCACTCAGGATAGTGTTTTCTATTTCCATCCATTTGCATGCAAAATTCAAGATGTCATTGTTTTTTACCGCTGAGTAGTACTCTAATATGTATATATTCCACACTTTCTTCATCCATTCTTCCATTGAAGGGCATCTAGGTTGTTTCCAGGTTCTGGCTATTACAAACAATGCTGCTATAAACATAGTAGAGCATATACTTTTGTTGTGTGATAAGGCCTCTCTTGGGTATATTCCCAAGAGTGGTATTGCTGGGTCCAGGGGTAGGTTGATCCCAAATTTCATGAGAAACCACCACACTGATTTCCAAAGTGGTTGCACAAGTAGGAGGGGGAGGGAAATGGGAGGCAGGGAGGAGGCGGAAATTTTTTTTCAACAAAAATAAATAAATATATATATATACATATATATATGTCAATGAGATCTTAAAAAAAGAATTCTCTTTGTTGTTGTTTCAGCAGTCTTATTATGAGGTGCCTTTATATGGTTTTCTTCATAATTATCTTGCTTATGGTTCCAAGTACTAATTTAATATATGACTTGATTTCCTCCATGCTTTTTGGGAAATTTTCCTAACATGAGCCTTTATTTATACAGTTAGTGTGCTACAAGCTGCTTATGTGCTTCTAGTTTTCTGACTCCCCTTTCAGCCATGTCTAATCTGGTACTAAGATTGTCTATTAATTCCTTAGCTAATATTATTTTATTTTTCAATTTTAGAATATTATTATGGTATAATACATTTGTTCCACAAGTGTGCACCGGCCCACAGAGGTCCAAGGAGGGCATTAGTTTCCCCTGGAACTGGACTCACAGGCAGTTGAGAGGTACTACATAAGTGCTGGAAATGGGAAACTTGGTCATTGGTGAGAGCAGTAAGTACTCTCAACTGATGAGCTCTCTAGCCCCTATATGCTTGATTATTAATCACAATTATTTTAATGATAATGTCTAATGATTCACTAGCTGGAAGAAAGGGCTCTGTATAGAGTTTACTTTTTATTTCATTCATTTGGTGGTTTAAGTAATTTTTAGTAATAAAGTTTTTTGGAATAATATTCTAAATAGCATTAATATATGCATATGTGTATACAAATATACATATATTATGTCATATATGTGATATATATATCAGATTTTAGAGGCTGTTATCTTTCAACAAGAATTTTCATTAATTTGGGATAAAAGTTGGTAGCAACTCACCTTAATCCAACTCCAAACTAAACATATTCAGGCAGGTCTCAGTTTATGAAAGGAAGTATGTGTTTTTACTTTCTCCAGAACCCCTTCATAGATCCTGAGGGGTACTGAAAGCTGGGTTTTGATCATGCCCTCAGAATATGCATTTTCTCTGTAGCTCTATGGAACTGAAAAGTCACGTAGCCTGTGGCCTCTCAGCCTTCTGCTATATGTAAATAGACTCTTTGATATGGAAAAACAGAACAAAATATAAAACTCATTCTTCAATATTTCTCATCACTCTAGAGTCGTGGATTATCAAGTCCTTAAACTTTACTTCCTAAACTTCCACATATGCTGCCCTGCTGTGACACAGCAGAAGGCCCCAGTGGGTTTGTCTGCCTCTCACCTGCCACTTCCTGCTGAGCATCTTAACTTTTTACAACAGGCAGCTTCTGACTCCCACAAAGGCTGAACATCAAGGCAAAAAGAAAAAATAATCCCTACAACTGTAAATTCTCTTCTCCCTGAAACAGCAGCCACTCAAGCTCTGTCTGTATAGACAGCTCTCTGATACCCTCAAATTGATTTCCTTGGGTATCACATTCAGGCTTTCTGGTTGTTCTCTGAACTAAGATCATTTGGCTACAAGGCAGTTCATCATAGCCAGAAGCAGAAATATCAATGAGTATCAGTTGATTCTGAATATACTTCAAAGGTAGGATATACACCAACAGGCATTATTTCTTAGGAGTGAGGTGGGAGAGATGAATTGAGTCACACTGAGACCTTTGACCTGAGATGTTAGGAACCAAGCTGTAAGATATCAAAGAGACTTATTTGAAAAGATTCATTGACCTGTTGGCAATCTATTTTTCTTACTGCACCCATTTCTCTTCTTCCTTCCTTCTTTGGAGTTCCCTTCTTAAGTTCTCTCTCATTCTTTCCTTTTGGATTTCAACTTTGATTGTGTGCATTCTAAATTTTCTAGAACTGCAAAACCTGAATTTTCAGTTTCTCCGCAAGCTTCCCTTTCTATACACTTGCAAACTAGACAGTGTTTCCCCAGGTTTTTTTTGGACAGACACAGCCACTACACCCATATACCACTGAAATTGTGTTTCTCATTTCTTCTGCGGTTCAGTTTCCAAGTGCTCACGTTTAATGAAGAGTTTTACCAACTCTTTTGTCATAAAAGGATTACCATTATTCTAGTGGCCAGTTTTAGTTTCTTCACAGATACCTGCCAGTTATTAAGCCAATTCAGCATATCATAAATTCATTGTGTAACAGCACTTCAAGATGCCAATGTCTATTATTTCCATAGGCTAACCACTGTGGTAAGTATCTAAACGTTTCTTGGCTAAGTAAGATGATTTTTAAGAATCCAATCCAATACAAATAGTTGGTTTCATGATTCTCTGAAGTGGTTTTGCTTCAAACAGGGATTGGTGGTTTCAGTGCTTTCACTTTTTACGGCTTTGTCATTGTACAAATTCAACCTAATCGTGGAATAATCCAGTCAGAAACTGAAGGATGCAGGAAAAAAAGAATAACAGAGGGTTTTATGGCATGTCTCACCGTGATGTACATGCTTCTTTCCAGAACCCAAATACACCCAACTTGACATCAAAGAAAGCTGAAGCGCATGATCTACTCATGTGCTGAGAGACAGGAAATAGGAAAGCTGAACTACCACCACATTTAGGAGAAAATACAGCTAGAATCACAGACTATCCTAATGTTGGCAAGCAGACCATCATGTAAATCTAAAATATGCAACCCAAGCATATAGAAAACCCAGCTGGTACCCTGAAAGTCCACCTTGCTGGTATTTTAGCTTGAAAACATTAAGAGTTTACTATTTGCCAGCCACTCTCCCAACTGTTTAGTAATTATGAAATCACTGTTCATTAAAATAATCTCAGGAAGCAGTACTCCTTATACAGAGAAGGAAACTGGAAAACTTATTCTAGGTCTCATAGCTCTTAGCTCTCGTCCCAGGTTCTAGAGCAGATTTCCCCCCCTACACTGTCACAATGGCTCTAGTTTCTTCAAGATGTTTCCAGGTGACTAGTTTGCTCAGCATGCCCTTTCCTAATTATACCTGCCTTTCTCTTTCCCTTCACACAGAGTCATTTTCAGACCTTTGTTAACGGAGGCTACAAGTTTGTTTCCTGGCTGCCCAGAACCAAATAATCACACAGAAACCATATTAATGATAACACTGCTTAGCCTATTAGTTCAGGATCCTTAAGTAATTCTTATATCTTAAATCCATTTCTATTCATCTGTGTATCGCCACGAGGCTGTGGCTTAACAGGTAAGGTTCCAGCATCTTTCTCCTTCAGCAGCATCATGGCATCTCTCTGACTCCACCTACTCTCTCCATAAATCCCTTCCAGCATGGCTATATTCTGCCCTACCATAGGCCAAAGGAGCTTCTTTATTAACCAATGGTAATAAAACATATTTACAGCATACAGAGGGGAATCCCAAATCAGGTCTTTGTGTCCACTTGTCCCCAACCAAAAGCTGATTGCACTTTACTGAATTTCTATTTAATGCTTAGAAAATTATCAACCAGTTTAGAACAGTGCCCTCATTCACTTCAGCTGTCAACCTGCCATAGTTCAGAAACATCTAAAGAAGTCTCAGTTGAGGGATTGCCCAGATCAGGCTGTCCTCTCAGTATATCTTGGGACACTGTCTTAATTGTTTACCCTCTAGGATCCACAGTTGGCAAGACTTAGAAATGAATTTGAAAGTAAGTTCTTCAGAAATAATGAAAATGATTCCCTATGATAATACATACAAAGAGTGAAGAATGCCAAAATGCTACTACATACCAAATATTGATCAAACTTTCCTCATTTTAATCTCTTTAAATTAAACAGATTTAATAACTATAAAATTAAAGAGATTTAATAACTATGAATGAGAGAGAGAGAGAGATAATCTCTTTAATTAAAGATACATACTTCAGCACTAGGAATTGAACCCAGGTTCTCAGGTATGATATACATTGAGAATACAAGTTCACAAGATGCTGAGTAGATTCTGCTAATTAGACAAAATGAGACACATAATGATACTGAACCTTTATATATATCACAAAAGAATTTCAAACTATATCAACTAAATTGAAAGGCCTAAAACAGGAAAGAAAGCCACACTGAACCTTTATATATATCACAAAAGAATTTCAAACTATATCAACTAAATTGAAAGGCCTAAAACAGGAAAGAAAGCCACAACAGAACAGAACTAGGAAATAGGTGCATTTATATTATAGACGACTGTGACATTCCTCCATCAGCAAATGGTAGAAGGGCAGATGGAAAGGCAGGAAAGATGTAAAATGCGCAGATAACTATTTCAGCTGCCGTGACCTGACTGACATTCACGGAATACTTCCCACAGTTCCGACAGAGCATACACATTTTTCTTGAACATGGAACATTTACCAAAGCAGACCATATGCTAGGTCATAAAATGAGTCTTGAAAACTTTAAAAGATAGAAATCTCACCAAGAATGTGCTCAGGCCATAATGCAGTGAAATCAAAAGCCACTGAGAAAGGTATCTGGAAAATGTCTCAAACATGCAGAAGTTGAACAACGTACACCACATCACACATGAAACCAGAAATGAAACCAGAAAGGAAATTAGAATATATTCTAAACTGGGCAAAAAGGCAAATGGAACTCCTCAGAACTGTGAGAAGCAGCTAAGAAAGGGCTCAGAGAGAACTCCAGGATTGAATGCTTGTGTGAGAACATATTCTAACAAAAGTTACATTTGAATTAGTGGCCTAAGATTTTGATTTAGAAAACTTAAGAAAAGGAGAGCCAATGGCATGTGCCTGTCATCCCAACCCTCAAGGGGCTGAGGCAGGAGAATCAAGCCCAGCCAGAGCTAGGTAATAAAACCTTGTCTACAAACAAACAACCCTAAAACAAAAAGACCAGACCAAATTAAAGTCAGATAGATTAATGGAATGGAAAAGCAGCCAGAAATACAACCACACCATTTTAGTAACTTGGTCTTTTACAAAGGGGATAACACACTTCAATCCAGAGAGAATATTCTTTGCAACAATGGAATTTGAGAGATATATAAATATTTATTTATGCATGTACACATGTGTGTATATATTTTACACATGCACACATATATAATGTGTGTGTGATTTCAGGAAGCAAAAGATTAGAAAAAATCTCATGGTCCCCTTCAAGAAAATGTCTCCCAACCTTAAAATTGACTCTAGGCCTCACCACTTAAAGGATCCAATGCTCCCAATATCAACACCTTGAAGACAAAGCTTTAAACACATTGATATTTGGGTAACAGTCAACAACCAAGCTACACCACTGAGAGAGAAACTAGATTCAATAGTCTAAATATTAAATAGTATACATGTATGCAAAATCTGAGAAAAGAATGAAAGAAAGGAGAGCAGTGTTAACCGAGAATGAAATACAAAGCAGACTAATTTTAAAGGGGGATGAAGACAATGTGAAGGTCACAAAAGTACTGTCTCATAATTATGACTATGATCTCATGAATCCAAAAACAGATGCTTATCAAATTGCTTGCAGATTAATGAATGCTATTAACAACCCCAGTATAACTGATTTTAAATAAT